CCGGCTGAGCTCTCCTCGGCGTTTGCGGTCGAGTCGTCCGACCTGCCGGATAGGATGCCCGGGTGAATCTTCGCCGCCGCTGCTCGTGTGGGCGCTGGGCTGGGGTTCCTCGGCCAGTTGCCCCACCGTCCGCGGGCCTGCCGGCCACTGCCACGGGCAGGCCACTGGCCTTTTCTCGGCCCCATTTCGGTCAAGTGCTGTGGCATATTCGTTCCTGGTGGTTGCTCCATGGCTGCGCTAGAGCTATGCAGGTGCTTTAAGAGGGCCATGAAGCAATCTGCCAGGCCCTGCCCCGAGGTCCATAGAGTGGGCAGAGGGAGAGGCCAAAGTGCCACCCATGTACAAGTACCGGTGGACCTTCTTAGATTTTTGCCCTGGGTTGGATCAGGAAGCGACAGCCTCACCTTGGCATGGTGGCGTGGCATGATCTTGGTGGAGGGGGAAACTTTTCACGGACTTCCTAACTTGCCTCTCCTTGCCTCTCCTAGCTTTAGTTCCTCAATGAACCTGCCCCGGTTTGACGCACCCGCCTTCGCCCAGAAGAGAAATGATTGGCAAAAATAGCAAAGGCATTCCAGAGATATAGTCACTTGAGGCAGACCGTTGTCCCTCCGTACCAGGGGCATCCAGCTGTGTCTCTCGAACTGACAGCCTGCAATGGCTGGCCCCAGCATCTGGACCAGCCTCAAGTCGGTCCTGAGAAAGAACAATGACCCCTTGTTCCTGAACGACTGCAGTGCCTTTGATTTTTCGGACGAGATTGGTGATGAAGACTTCCCCCGGTTCAAGAAGCTGCAAGTTGTGGTTTCGGAAGATGCTGCTGACACCTCAGCCAACGGGGCCTATGTGGGACCCCACTCTGATGATGAGTCCTTGCTGGACAGGGACATTGTATTGCGGAATGCTGTGGCTGGACCCCCTCCAGACCCTTGTAACAATTGTACCCAGCAAAGGGAACTGTTAAAGCAAAGGAAGGTGAAGAGGCGCCTGGCCTTGGCTGCAGTCCTGTACCTTCTCTTTATGACAGGCGAACTTGTAGGTAAGAGTGCCCTGCCAACTCCAGACTGGGGGGTGGGGGGAGGAGAAGTTGCTTTGTAAGGCAGCAGTGCTCTGGGATAGCTGTTTAATTGTTTTCTCGGGCAGGAGGATCAGGGCAATATCCGGGGAGATTTTGCCATGGCTCCCTGACTACGGTTAATACCATCCTCTCCTGTTTTGTGCGTTTTTTATAGTTTTTATAGTTTTAATTATTGTTTTTACATGTATCTATGGGTTTTTAATTGAGCGTTGTATGCCACCCAGAGTCACTCCTTTGTGAGATGGGTGGCTATATAAATATGATCACTCAGTCAATCATTATTGCATTGCAACAGGGCAGCAGGTTTAGGGAATGTCTTAAGTAAGCAGAAACTGCCTGCAGCAAACAGGGAAGAAGAGAGAATCGACTGTGCCAATGTTTTGATCTACCACTTTGTGGACTGATTCTGCTTAATAATGTGGTCTTTGACAACCCACACTCACGGCCATACAAAGCACAGCCCTGGTGCATAGCTTTGTCTTGATTGTTGCAGAGCTTATATACACGAAGGTTGTGTTCATATCTTATGTTAGACCATGATTTAATTTGCATTTACTAAATAAACCCCAATTATCTGGAGTTACACAGCAGGGGTTCATATAAAATGTTGAGCCAAACAAGCCACATTTAGGTTTAGTACAATAGAAAGGTAGTCTCTAATATTGTAGTCTTAAGTGTAATAGTCTTAAGGGGGTAACCTAACCCTGGATTCAGGTTTGCATTTGGCCTTTCAGTGGGTGGAATCTGACAGTGCCTTTTCTGACTAACACATTTTATTAAAAAGCATAAACCTATACCTTTTAATAAAACTTACTGGTCGAAAAAGGCGCCACCAGACTCTTACTGATTTTTTGCTACCATAGACTAACATAGCTGTCCAAAAAGCGATGGGTGAGACCAGGACAGACTAAATTTGATTTCATTCCATCTAGGTTAATTAAGAATCAATAAATAGCCTTTCAGGCAGGTATTTAATTAACTTTCCCTTTGCTAGTACAAATTGCCATTTAGTAACAGCTTCTGGAAGACTCTGAAGGTTGTACCCAAGTCTTCATGAGCTGTATGTCATCTTTTGGCTGTACCCCTCCAGTCAAGAGAAGTGTTCAGGCAACCAGGTTAAGTAAAATAGACTTAAAGCTCTTGTATGTTCCATGCCATAAAGTTCCTTCACTGCAAGAAATCAAGGCTCCTGATGGATAGATTTTCTAATGCCTGCTAGATAATAATTTCTGAGTGCGCCATCTTCACAATCTTCCTGCTTTTTTTTTTTTTTTAATCTCTGTTCTTTTGCTCTCTTACTTTCCTGAGCTGCTTGTGAAGATCAGCCACCCATGAGATGGATTTTTGTCCTTTATGGCTCATTGAAGGCAGCAATGAGACATCAAACCCGTTATTGACTAGGATGTTCGCAAGCCGTTTTTTAACTCTTTAAAAGAGGCCGCAGCGAGGCAGGCGTTTCTACAAACTGGATCCAAGTCCTGACAGATGGTGCGAGTTGTTATTCTCAAAATCTGTACTGCTGCGGATCAATATGTTCCTCTGTGCACAAAGAATGCACATACACAGTCACTTCTGGTTTCCCAGGTTCAGCCCTCCAGTCACAGAGACAGGATATGCCTATTAATCCTACCCACCACATCAACTTGTGTGGTTGGTGTAACAGTTGAGGTTGAGCTCAGGGGAAAATAAATCATTAAATCTATCAAAGGTTCTCTCCGTTCCAACCTAGCTTGTTTGTGAATCATGCTGGACTGCTTTGCTTACTTCAGAGCAATTCTTAAAATATTAGGAGGAAGGGAGGTAGAACCCACCATCCCTAATTCCTGTCTTCTACCCCCATTTCTGCCAAGTCAGTGTGGTTCCTTTAAAAATACTATGTGACAAGTTGAAGCAGAAAAAAATGGGGCAGGTTTCTTCCGAATCCTTCCTGCAAATAAAATGAGCCCAAGAGTTAAAATCTGTAGCTACAGCCATTTAATTAAATGATATAAATCTTTTGGAGATGGCTCGCTTAAGGACAGGTTCTAAATTTTCAGCATTTCTGTCCAGCTGGTAATTTCTGTGAACGGAGTCCTTTAAGGAACATTGGTGCTTTTCAGAAATAAGTAAGTTCAGTGCATGAAGATTGCTACCTATGGTGATTTCCTGCTGAGGACATAACACATGGTGATAACAGCCAAAAAGATATTTGTCTGGAACTATTGTCCATTCCTCACCCTCCAATGTATATGTTAAAATACAATCTGCAAATATGGCCATAGTATGTTGCACTATAGATGTTTTGGGGAGCTGTGATTGATGCAACTCCTTGCTGAATATGTGTTTTTTTGATGTAATATGTGAAAATATCTAACATCCCCCTCCCCCTTTTAAACTTGTACATTAAGGTGGATATGTTGCCAACAGTCTAGCAATCATGACGGATGCACTTCACATGTTAACTGATCTCAGCAGCATTATTTTGACTCTTCTTGCTTTGTGGCTCTCTGCAAAAGCACCCACAAAAAAGTTCACCTTTGGATTCCATCGATTAGGTAGGTGGCCTTTTAAATTATTCCAGCATCACTGTCTGTGCCAGTTGACAGTGAAGTTTATATCTTTGGTTTATCTTCTCCACCCAGGTGCCCTCCATCTGTATCAAATTGCAATTCCTAATTGTACTGTGGCTATGACAGGTTGATAAGAATTATGATCCAGCAAGATGCCAGGGTAGGACAGCTGCTTAGTTCAGTAAGGAAATGGTAGATAAATACAATGTTATATCTCCAAATGCTGCAGCCTCTTAGAATGGCATGGCAGCTTGTAAGATCTCTTTTGAGCTGTTGAATTTAAAGATTTGGTACAGGCAGACAGAAGGGGAAAAAGTCATAACACCCGCCCCCTCCGCTTCTGGTACTTTTATGGCTGTTCCATGTGCTCTCTTGTAACTGTTTTTCAGCGTAAGCAAAACTTCTTGGGTGTATCTGTTGCAGCCCAAACTGTGATGGAATGGAATTATGAAGGCCAGGCTCAGGGAGATAAACATTTTCTTAGCTTGCCGGAGGAGTGTGGGAGATACAAGAGGATGAGACCGGCACCTCCCTGAGGAATTCACAATGTTGTGGCTGGCTGACTGACTTGGGAGCTGGGGTTTCAGTCTGGGAAGATTCTTGCTA